TGAGGGGAAATGGAATTCAAAGATTAAAATGATCATGGAAGTTTTCCACAAACTTTTAAAAACCTCCTAGTATGTATGTGTGCATAGAAACTATTAAACTAACTATTAAAACAAAGGGGATACAGTGTTCACAGATGAATCTGAATAATCTGAATTTCTACTTATGTACACTCTTAACTATTCTTATCCTTGTAATTTTTCTCTAAGTTACCGAATTTTTCTCCACAAATTTTCTCTGACCCGTCGCCATCAAATCAATTCCAACTCAGTAAGACCGTATGAAGGTTTCCACGGCTTTGTAAATCTTTACTGAGAACAGACCAGCCTTCGCTTGCTCCTGAGGTGCAGTTGGTGGGTTTGAACCGCTCACCTTGCAGTTGTTACCCAGCAGCACCACTTGGGCTCCTTAAGCTTTCTCTAAAGCCATACACTTAAATGACCAGCATTACCTTCCTCAGTAGCATAGACGTCAATTCCAGGAAAATGTAATTCCTGAGTTGTCCCGCCTTCACCCTGAATCTGGCTGTCTTGTTGCTGTGGAACAGGACGGAGAGCAACTGCCACCTCTTTATATGGTTTCAAGCTTAAGGAGTCGCTACTGGGTGACCCCTGACTTTCTGGTTAGCAACCAGGTGTTTTAGCCTCTCCACCACCAGGGCACCTAACAGTGGGGTGTGCTCATCTCTCAAAATCACTGCCACTGAGTTGATTCCGATCCTATTGGGCAGGAGAGGATTGCCCCTGTGAGTTTCCAAGATTTTATGGAAGCAGGCAGCCTCACCTTTCTCCTGAGGAATGGCCGGTAGTTTCAAACTGCTGACCTTGTAGTTAGCCGTCCAAAGCATAACCACTGCCAGCAGGGGTCCTATACGCAATGCCATTGAGTCAATACTGACTCACAGCGACGCCCACTGACGTAACCACTATTGAGAGTGGAAAGTTCAGTCTTTCTCCCACGGAGCTGCTGGTGGTTTCAAACCGCCGACCATGCGATCACAGCTCAATGCATAACCCCTCCGCCACCAAGGCTCTTTATGAAACATTAGGGCTGGTTTAAATCGTGGCTTCTTGTATTGAATGTCACAGACCCTTGTGCAGAGCAAACTCGAGAATCCAAGCTTTTAACCATTTCACTGGCTACTGATTTCTAAAAATACATATTATTAAAAGGTCTAAAGTGAGACTAACTCCAGACGGCTTCCGAATGTAACCTGGTGAGCTCATCCCGGCGTATTTTAAAGAAATAACACTTACATAACTTAGCCCACTGAGACTGATGCTGGCTCTGGCTGACGCACGCTACCTCCGAGGAAACCATCATACCGCCTCCGGCATGGGAGCCAGGTAAAATATCAGAGACGCTCATCAAGTGGATGAGCAACAGGAGCAAGGCAGGCAGGTGGTCCCCCTCACCTCTGCTTAATTGAATAAGCCAGATGACTGCATTTACAACTTATAATTACACCGATGAAATTATTAAGAGTGACGGGTTTTCAGGGTGGTGTTTCCACGGGAAACTTACTAAGCAGCGCTTCACACGGAGCTGGGCCAGAGTAAAGGCTTAGCAAACATGCCCTATCACTGCCGCTATCGCCGCTGTCTTCATCATTATCGTAGTCACAGATCCGCAGGATAGGTACGGCCTGTGCATAATTACAGGAGCTTCACAGAGGCTAGTTTGACTTCTATAATTTATGGGGCACTGCCTTTTCAGGGATTTCCACTTGACCCAGGGGCTGGCTGACGATTATTGCAAACAGCATGTAATTAGCAAGTGCAGCTTCTAGTGGACCATCTATCAAAGCCTAATAGAGTCTAAACCAGAGTTTCCCAAGAGGGTGAGATACTGCCCTGTGTGGGTGTGTGTGGGTGTGTGTGGGTGGGTGTGCGCGCTGAACTGGTAGGGGGCCGCAAAAGCAAGATGCCCCCACTTCATCCTGGATGATAGGACAAAAGGTTTTCATTGCCAGGGGGTCTCTAAGTCTTTTTTTTTTTTAAACTGAAAAGGGGACAGTGGACCAAATAAGTTCGGGAGCCTATGGTCTAAATTCTCCTCTATTCGCTCTTGTACCAAAAAACATTGATACCTACCCAAACCATTTTGCCCAGTTACATTTTTAAGATTTGTTTTCCAGCGCGGGTGCCCTGGTGGTGTAGTGATTACCCGTTGGGCTGCGATCTGCAAGGTCAGAGGTCCCAAAACACCAGCCACTTCTCAGGGCTTTCTGCCCTTACAGTCTGGGAAACTCACAGGGGGCAGTTTAACGGGCTGCTAGCGAGTGGCATCGATGCCATGGCAGTGTTTTTGTTTTGTTGGTCTGTTTTATTAATCATTCTATTGGGGACTCTTACAGACCTTCTAACAATCCAAAATTCGTCCGGGGGTGGGGTGGGGGTGAGGGTGGGAGGTCCTTTGTTTTCAAGTGCAGGCAGTTGTGGGATTTGCAGCACGCTTACTCACAAATGAGCCTCCATTAGAGTCCAGTCAGCTCCTGAGAGCTTAGGAAGGGAGGCACAGAACAGCGAGATTCACGGGATATCTACTTCTAGGGCTGGCCTCAAAGAATAGACACACTTGTAATGCTGGATACTAACAAAATGGAAAACAACAACAACAAAAAACCCAGCCCACATCTCTCACTCCCCCATCTTCCAAACAGCATGAATGCCACTAGGAGTTCCCAGAAAGAAAAAAAAGACCCTCCCTGCCAATGAGTCCATGCTAACTCATAGCGACCCTATAGGACAGAGTAGAAACACCACCTCGGGTTTCCGAGGTTGTCAATCTTTATGGGAGTGGAAAGCCTCTTTTTTCTCCCACCGAGTAACTGGTGGGTTCAAATGGCTGAGTTTGCAGTTAGCAGCCCAATACATCACCTACTCAGCCACCAGGACTCCTTACAGGAGGGTTATCACAGACATCTCACCTAGTGGACATTGTCGGGCTGGCTCCACTGCAGCACTGGGTTTCTCAGACCGTAAATGTGTATGGGAGTAGAAAGCCTCATCTTTCTCTCATACCGTAGGAGTTAGTCAATTGAAACAAAAACCAAAACCGGTAATGGAGAAGCATCTTGATAACATTATGCATTTGAACAAATGTACAGATGTGCTTGACACGATGGATGGGTGGATGGATGGATGGATGGATGGTGAAAAGAGTTGTACGAGCCTCCCCCATAAAATTATTCCAAAAATAAAAAAAAACATGATGTATTTTAATAGGTTGGGGAGGGAGGGCAGTGCGTTGTATGAGAAGCTCCATTACAGGCGTCCCTCATTTTACTGTGCTTTGTGTTACTGCACAGGGCAGATGTTGCGCTTTGTACAAACTGAAGGTTTGAGTCAACCCTGAGTTGAGCAAGTCAACCCTTGGCACCATTTTGCCAACAGCGTGTCCCTGTGTTGCACTTTGATAAAGCCTCACGATATTCAAACTCTTCCCTCCTGTTGTTATTGTTGCACACTTCACAGACTACATACAGGATGGTGCACTCGGAAACATATTTTAAAAAGTGTGGGGTTCACTTTATTGTGGGGTCTGGAAGTGAAGACACAACATCGCCCAGGTATGTCTCTGTCAGGGCTCCTGTCCTAAGATGGCCTAGGTGGGGAGGAACTCACCCTCTCACAGAGACCAATGAACACACACACACACTCACATGCCAAGTCCCCACCGCTGACTCCTAAGTGACCCTCCGGGACAAAGCAGAGCTTCCCCAAGGGATTTCCAAGGCTGGAATCTTTCCAGAACCAGAAGGAGCCCATTCCGCCATCGAGTCAATTCTGACTCACAGCAACGCTATAGGACAGAGTAGAACTGGCCCTATGGATTTCTCAGACGGTCAAATCTTTACAGGAGTAAAAAGCCTCATCTTTCTCCCATACAGTGGAGGTTAGGCCATTAAAACAAACACCTAGGTCAGAGAAGAGCACCTCTTAGCCGGTGCTCCCAGCAGTGTCTTCTGCCTGAGACTCCTTGCACCTCTTGAGCTCAAAGAAGGGCCAACCTGACTTAAGCTCTCCCGAGATGACCAAGCAGCCTGACTAGGACCTGGAGACCATTGACAACAACGCGGCATCCACCCTCGCCAACCTTACCAAGTACCTCTCAGCCCTGCAAGGTTTCAGGAAGGCCCTGTGCCTGGCCGTGCAGGTGGAAGAGCAGCCCAGCAAACAAATCAGCAGCAAGAAATAGCCTCAGTGATGACTGTAAATAAATTTTAAAACAATGGAAGTTTACCACAAACCTTTGAAGCCCCTTTGTATATCTACCAGACTTTGCCTGTTCAGTTACTTACAGGTTTAAGCCTTATTGACAGCAATTGACAAGAATCTGTTTGTAAGTGTACCATTCCATGATCTACGCAGTTTTTTCATCACTCCTACCCTCCACCATCCGCTTTCTCTATACCGACCCCAGTAACCATGAATCAACTTTGATGCCTACAAAAAGCTAAAATAATAAAACGTACACCTATAATGGAGAAGCATCTTGATTCCCTGAATGTAGTGGGAAAGGCTCTGTTTAAATAAATGGGGGAGACCAGGTCTTTCCAAATCATCAGCCTTTCCGGCTTGCAGCTGATGCTTAACCACTCTAACACTGGGCGCCTTTCCCGGGCAGTGCCAGCCTCAGATCACTGTCTGACCAGAGGGCAGTCCTGCCCGGAGAAACGGAAGCCAGGATCCCCACTACAAGGGAGTCATAAACTCAGAGGAGAAATCAAACGCCCTTGTACGTGAATGCAGATTCTGCCAGGGCTTAGTTCACTGGGATGAGGAAGTTAGTTGCATCATGTGATTTTAAAAAAAAAATGCTGACACACCCCAGAGAAAACACAATGATGCTGAAGGTTTTGCTGCATCTCTGCATCCCCCTTCCCGCAGTGATGTGGGGCAATAGGATAAGCAGGGTGGGTAGTTCAGGAGCTTTCGCTCAAGGCTGCTGCTGCTGCTGAGAAGGGTGTTTAACTAAAGATCCAACGTCTCATTCCCAGTTTCTTGCCTGGACAAACAGAGAGCGAGTGCATCTCTCTTACCTGCTCCTTCAGAAACGAACCACATGAATCCGTATCCTTGTCCTTGGGGAGAAGGTTTATCGTTGGATACTTTCTGCCGAATACAAGACTCCTCCTGTCTTCTAATTAAATTTTAATCTTCTCTCTGAACAGTGGAAGCCAGGAGTCGAGGCAGTCAATAAAGACAAGACTGGAAGTCTGGGAAGGCCGGGGGAAGGTTGTCCGAGCAGCTTTTTAATGGCAGGGCACGACGGCTGACTCTGTCACTACCTTCTCTTGGCGCCTCGTGGGTCAGCATCGCTGCTCTGATGACAAGGCAATCCCAGGAGGTTGCTTCCAAAGCAACAGGCCTTCCACTACTGCTTCTGCCCACGTCCAGAGTCCTTCTCATCACTCATCGCTGGTGACCTCCCTGCGTCCCCGCTAGCCTCCTCTCACACAGCAGCCAGAAGGATATTTTTAAATAGATCAGCTCGTGCCACTCCCCTGCTCACAGCCTTCTCTGGGTCCTCCCTCTTTGCTCTGAAAGTACACGCCGGGGCCCACGCAACGTGCAAATCCCTATGGTGTGGTCTGTTCTCCCACCTCCTTGCCCCAGCGCTGCAGTCTGCCCAACACCTCAAGAGCTTACTTCCCCATCTCAGCCCGTCCCCCTGTCGTTTCCCACCACACGAAACACCTAGCGCTTCAAAAACGAACCACATGAATCCGTATCCTTGTCCTTGGGGAGAAGGTTTATCATTGGATACTTTTTTGAAGCTCGATGCCCAGCGTAGAGCAGGCACCAGGCAAACAGTTCTTGAATGAATGGAGAGATGTTTCACTAGAGTAGGCCAATGGAAAGGGAAAAAAATAAAAAGGATCTAAAGGCCATTCATTTTTTTAAAAAGAGGCAAACACATACAAGGAGCCCTGGTGCTAGAGTGGTTACGTGTTAGGATGGTGGCTACAGGTCAGCAGTTCGAAACCGCCAGGCGCTCCGTGGGAGAAAGATGAGGCTTTCTATTCCTGTGAAGAGTGACTGTCTCAGAAACTCCCAGAGGGCAGGTCTACCTTGTCCTATAGCAGCGGTTCTCAACCTGTGGGTTGCGACCCCTTTGGGAGTCAAACGACCCCTTCACAGGGGTCGCCCGATTCATAATAGTAGCAAAATGACAGTGATGGAGTAGCAACGAAAATAATTGCATGGTTGGGGGGTCACCACCACATGAGGAACTGTATGAAAGGGTCAGGGCATGAGGAAGGTGGAGGACCACC